CCCAAATCCCAGGGCTCAGAGCAGAGCCTGAACCTCCCCAGCATCAAAGGGGCTCCCCCAAAAATCCACAAAACAGCTTCTGAAGCACAACTCATCTGAAGCACAACCATATTTTAAATATGGGCAGAAAAACCTCCCCAAATCCACCCTCCGGGTCTGTTCCCTCCGCTCCCAAAATTCCCGTCTCCTCCACTCCCTGCACTAACACTTGGAAAGGTTATTCCCTAAAAAACAGGGATTTGATTTAGCACAAGGAGCAGGAAAAAACCATCAAACGGGGGCTTTAATCCTCACTAAAAACCTGCCCTGAGCTGGATAAAACAATGTTAATTCCAGAAAAAAAGGAAAGGAAAACTTCCATCCTGACGGGAAAGCAGCAGCAGCAGCAGCTTTCAGAGGCAGCTTGCACCCGGCTGTGATTAATCAGCTTGTCCACCTTGTCCAAATAGTCCATCGAGCAATAATTAAAAATAATAAGCCAGAAATTATCAAATCACACACAATAACTGCAGAGCTCCTTCCCCTTTCGCTTTTGTTTATTGTTCAAACTTGTCAAGCCCCTCGCCTCGCTCCGAGCAGCCGAGCAGGGAAGGCAGAGCCCCTTCCAGCAGATGGATTTGCAGGATGAAAAATGTCCTAATTATGATCCTTTCCACTCAATCCATGAATCCCGAATTGTCCCGCTGTTGTTTCTGCCAATCAGCAGCAGGGCCAGGGGACAATCCGTTGTCACCGGGTTTTGCTCCTCTCCAGGTACATTTTGTTCAGATTTTGTTCTGAGATCAGAACAATCTCCTGCCTGCGTTCGCTTGGATGTTCTGCGACAAAATATATTTACTAAATGAGATTTGGGGAGCTAAACTCCAGCATGCACCACCCTAAGAGCTGAGATTACCCAGGGAAAACAATCCAAATTATCACCTGTAATATTTGCTGAAAGTTTACCTTTTTCGCCCCCAACAACAACGCAAAATTCAGCGGCCTTCTCCTGGAATATTGGATATTTAGCAAAGGAAAGAAATACAACTCTGGGAAAAGCGTCCTCGGTGTTTCAGGAATAAAAAAGCCCCAAATTCCCCTGGAGAAAAGCCCCGCTGTGCTCGCAGTGCCCCTGTTCCTGCAGACAAAGGCTCTGGAGCAGAGCACAGCCACTTACCTTTAAAC